TTCATGGTATTCCTTAAGGAATCTAGAATCAAGGGACAATAACGTTAGGTAGTCATTATTAGAGGTCTGCAATAGGCGGATTTTTGGCCCACAAGCCCGTCCAATATTTAAAAAAAAAAATTAACTCGCCCATAGATTTTAAAAATATACCCGGCCCCCATGAGTCTAAAATTCTTTACCCGCTCGCCCGCCCGCCCATTATTTTAACATTTTTTACCCTTCCGATTACATAAAAAAAATTAATCCATGCTTCCCATAAAATTTAAATAGCTCATTCTCTCAATTTTTTAAAAATCTAATTAAAAAAATTATTCAGTTTACCGTTTTATAATTTAGAAAATTGCTATATTGAGCAAAAAAATATTCAATTTAAATTACGGATAAGGAATTTATTTGATTTAATAAAATATAAATATAAAATTAACATTTATTGATGTTATTTCTAATTATAATGCAAAAATAACAATGAATCCACATATTTTGGATTCACGCACGTTCCTTTTGGGTCATTCCATGTCAAATGAGCAAAAAAATCAAGATTTTAGGTCGACCCCTTTCAGTTTCGATAAGGAATTGTAGACTGGTTATATATCCCATTAGATTATAAACAAAATTTTAGCGCATTAGCAACTATATTAGCGGAGATAATCGGGGTTAAAGGTCCAAAAAGTCTTTTTTTGCTTTTTACTGATGTTAAATAATTAGTTTTTAATTTAAAACTAAATATGATCAAATATTGAATCTAATATCAATAGCTAAGTTAATAATTGATAATTATGGCGAAAACATTAAAATTATTTTTTTAAAAAATATGGATCATCTTATGGTCAGTTGAAAATTTGAAATTAATATTTCGAAATGAATATGATCTCCGATTTTTAATTTTTTTAAGAAATATTATCCGTTTACTATTTTTTTAATAATTTCTTCAACAATTAGCATGGCTGGATATTTATTTAAAAAATATTGCGATTTTTATACTTTAAAAAAATAGATGGCGCTTTATATAATAGTTTTAATATGTTAAAATTCATTTTTTTATTTTCGATTATATAACTTAGTAAACCTTATTCCCCTGAGATATTCGCAGGATAAAAAATTTTAATAATTTTTTTAATATTTCAATGTAAATTAAAAATAATTAAAAAATCCAACTAGCACACGAATAAAAAAGCAGGATTAAAGGAGTGCAGGAAAATTATTATGGGAAAAATTGAAAATCACATTAATTACTAGGCCTACCCCCCCCCCCCTCTCCACCCCATCCCCCAGACTAAGTCATACACACAACAAGACCAAGAATGTTATGAAATTGTCATTATCTTAAATTATTAAAATAATCAGAGATAAAGAAAATTTCGAAAAATTTTTAAGCGATAAAAATAACAAAAAGTTAAACAAATTGTGATCAATGCCCTACTAGAAAAAGTTCAAATTTTACTGCCTCACTCGTTTATAGCTAAACAACAAACTTTATTTTTAAAGAATTCCAAAGAAAATTTAAAAGATGGGGAATTTTTCTAGATTATTCTGAGAATTATTCCTTCATTTTACAAGATGAAGTTCAGGGATTTCATTGGAAAACGCGCAGGCCACTATACATCCATTTGTAGCATATTATAAATCTGGATTAAAAAATATAAATTTTGTTATAACCGAATCATTAAACCATAATACTAGTGCAGTCCATATTTATCAAAAAAAATTTATTAATTTCTTAACAGCCAAATTTATTTCTAACAGAAAAAATAATATATTTTTCAGATGGTGCCGCGTCTCAATACAAGAATCGCAAAATTTTCGGAACATATGCCTTCATAAATACGATATTAAAATTCCTGCCGAATGGCATTTCTTTGCCACTGCTCACGGCAAATATGCATGTGACGATATCGGAGGAACTCTCAAAAGATTAGTTGCCAGAGCAGTTTTCAAAGACCAAATAAAAATCAAATCCTAACCCCATTAGTATTATATAATTATGCTAAAGAAAATATTAATGGATTTCAATTTGAATATATATCTAATCAAGAATATATCGAAGGGGAATTAGCCCTTCATAAAAGATTTAATTCTGCACTGCCAATACATGGAACCCAAAAAATTCACGAGGTTATTCCCATTGATCAAAATAGACTAAAAACCAAAATATATTCAAATTCCAAAAAATGTAATATAAAACAAGTTTCGTTTTTAAATGAGAAAATTATATTTAAAAATATTAATTGATATGTAACATGTGTATATGATGATAAATGGTAGTTAGGATTTATAATCGATAAAAATAATACAAATGAAGAAGTAAAAATCCGATTTTTACACCCTTGTGGACCTTCAGTCTTATTTAAATTTCCATTGAAAGATGATATTTTAGTGTTGCCTAAATCTCATATTCTCTCGCTGGTCAATCCTTCTACTCCCACCAGTCGAACATATATATTATCTTTTGAAGAAATCTCACAAGCTAGCCAGACTTTGTATTCCTTGAGATGAAGTTATATTTAATTAATTATAAACTATCTTAATTATTCATAATTTGTGAAGATTTTAAAAATTTCATAATCTGAATTACAAATAAATATATATAATGCACATTGTAATCGATTTAGTATGATATATATACATTAAAATATTTTTAATCAATAAAAAAAATAAATTACATATTAAAACTATTATATATAGCGCCATCTATTTTTTTAAAGTATAAAAATCGCAATATTTTTTTAAATAAATATCCAGCCATGCTAATTGTTGAATAAATTATTAAAAAAAATAGTAAACATATAATATTTCTTAAAAAAATTAAAAATAGGAAATCATATTCATTTCGAAATATTGATTTCAAATTTTCAACTGACCATAAGATGAACCATATTTTAAAAAAAATTAATTTTGATGTTTTCGCCATAATTATCAATTATTAACTTAGCTATTGATATTAGATTCAATATTTGATCATATTTAGTTTTAAATTAAAAACTAATTATTTAACATCAGTAAAAAGCAAAAAAAGACGTTTTTTGGACCTTTAACCCCGATTATCTCCACTAATATAGTTGCTAATGCGCTAAAATTTTGTTTATAATCTAATGGGAACATATATAACCAGCCTACAATTTTTTATCGAAATCAAAAGTGGTCGGCCGAAAAGTGATTGATTTGACATGGACCCTATTTGTTCTATAAACCTTCCAGCAATGTTAATTCCTCATCAGAAGAAGCACTGGTTAATCTTGAAAGCTTCGATAAATCGTTTTCTTGCCGTTTTCACCAAAGTAAACTGGGCGGGTAAAAAAATTTTCAAGAATGGGCAGGCGGGCGGGTCAAAAAAAATTGAAACTATGGGCGGGTTAAGAAATTTAATCAATGGGCGGACGGGTTAAGGAAATTTAAAATTTTTGTTCAAAAACAAACTAAAAAATATAATTGTTTAAATGATCTATTACAATATTTCCTTTTTTATTGTACCAATCGTTTTTTAAGTGAAGAACATTTACCTAACTATATTATGTAATAAACACAACAATAAAACTTTTTTCTTAGAATAAATAAACATTTTTGTCTTAAAAATTTCCTTTTATGGGAATGTAATAAAACTTTTCTAGTGCTTCTTCCGAACGCGGATTTAGCATTACTGGAAGATTTTTAGAACAAAGAAGAACGTGTTTGAATCCAGAAAATGTCGATTCATTATTATTTTTGCATTATAATTACATATAATATTAATTTTACATTTATATTTTTTTCATAAATATTCAATTTGATCAAATAAATTGTCCATAATTTACATTGATTATTTTTATACTTATATTAATTTCCTAAATTATAAACTTTTTGTAGAGGTGTAATGCTGAAATATTTTTATTAGATGCTTAAAAAATGAAAGAATGACCATAATTAAATTTTATAAGCGGGGTTGGGTTAAATTTTTTTTATAAATAATGGGCGGGCGGGTTAAATCTTTTTTAAAACATTGGATGGGCGGGCTTTTGGTCCAAAAACCCGCCCAATGCAGACCTCTATCTTCTACTGTGAGGGATTTAAATAAAAGTGAAACCATTAGTAATAAATTTGTTTATAAATGGTAATAAACTAAACTTATCAACCCAAAATCTTGCTAAATTATACAAAAACTCGCTACTTCAAGATTTAAATATTTTCTCTCTGTAACAGTCACATATTCCCATCTGTTGTTGTTAATTTTGACGTGGATACTATCTATTTCAAACATTGTATTTATAATTTAATACCTTTAATTGAATTCTATTGGATTTTGGAGACGGTAAAATCAGATTTTCATCCACGTTGATGTTATATTCTTCCATGCAAATAAATACATGTTTTCGATATCAACACATCCTCATATCGATTGGTATTAAAAATGTTTAAATTTAATGGATCATTCATTTTTTAAAATATTTACATAAATGATTTTAGATAACAAATAAAAGTTGTAAATTTTTCAACCGGCCCACCCACCCGCCATTAATTCAAATATTTTTATTAACCCCACCGCCCACCCGTTCTTTAAAAAATATAACCCGTTCGCCCGCCCACCCTTAGATGGGCGGGCTTAAAACCCGCCAAATGCAGACCTTTACTCATTATTATTAAGAAAATATTTAAGCTATTTTGATTTTTGAGAAAAATTTATTAAAGACTGATTTATTATTATATATTTAAATTTATTTTTATAAATAAACAGAATATTGCGGAAATATTTAATTTTATTATTTAATAAATAGTAATTAAAATTTTTATAAATATAACTGCAAAATATATATTATTAATATTAAAAAATACTAAAATCTCATAAATAGCTTTAAAATTTTTTAAAGGTCAATCATTTTTTAAAGTCGGTTCCTTCGGGTCTTCAGTTTTCCTAGTCCGGACTAAACTTTTCATTTTCCATAATCACACTATTTAGGATTTAGTAAACTCTAATTAGAATACAAATTATCTTTAAAAATTATAATGATATTTTATTTTATAAATACAAGGCTCATAGAGATCAATATGCTGCGGCCATCTCTAACGAAAATAGATTTAGGACAGAACAGTTTTTATTTTCTTGTTAATGAAGCTCAAACCGACAATTAATGATTTGTTTTGCACATTGTAATAATACTATGTTATGTCAAATTATCATATAAATTGTATATTTTTCTTTTAAAGTTTTTCAATACATCTTAAAAAAAATAGTTTTATCTAAGAAGAGAATTAATTATGCCATGCACACGTTACAAAATATCTACTAAGTTCTTATTTTATATTCTTACTTATACATACCTATTTTTGTAGCGGGAATTCGACCTAATTTATAACGATTTTACGATAATTAATAAAATTCGATTATATAAATAATGAATCAATTATTTTATATAGGCCTTAATACGCAGATAACCCTGCAAGAATAACAGGAGAATCTGAAATTTCTATTTAATGAAAAATTATTCCGAAATTTTTCACTATATTGATAAAATATAATAATGAAATATATATTTATCCTTATATGGACAAATTCTTGGAAACATATTATTTTTAAGATAAACATCTTTTTAACATTTTTATACACTGATTTGTAATTTATGTTTTAAAAAATTTAATTTTACTATATGAGGATTGATACCTCAATTTCTATTTATTATTGTCCTATTAGATCATAAATTACAAATACTAATATAAATAAAATAGCCGAAAAGATTTTTTACTGTGCATAATATTTCGGAATCAACTCTCAAAAATAAGTAAATGTCTAATAAATTCTGATGCACCCATCATCAAATATAAAAGTAATATCTTATTCACCTCATTCTTGACGGGCTATATACTAGTAATTAATATAATCATTTATACATATATAGTATACTGTATGCTGGAAAAGATAATAGATAGAGCGGGTCCAAATTAAAGAAAGGGGGAATAAAATATTTATAAAAATGTGATTATTTTATAAGGCTACAAATATTCAACCCGATATATAAAAGTTTGTCGATGAGTAAAAACGGGTTCTGGAAGAAACTACGAAAGAATTGAAGTACAGGTTAGAGGGTTAAAACCCATATAATGCCAGAGATGTAAAAATGGAAGGTAAATATAACCCATGAGTAAAACACTGGAGTGGAAATATAAGCCTATAAAATAATCAAAATAATGCCTAAAATAAACATAACATACATTGCCCTTTTAAGATAACACTGACAAGAAAAATGGGAGAAGAAAATAAAAACAAGTTTTGGTGCAGAATTTGACGCTGAGTTCGAATCCGTTTTCCAAATTTTCCCTACACGTCAAGTTTTAAAAATATTACCGTATAAAAACAACTTTTCGAAATCTCAAAAATGGTAAAATTAGGTCTTTATACAGTTATATTTTAAAAAGTATAGAATAAAAATCCCTGAGAATCGGTGATAGTGTTAAACTTATATTTCTTTATAAATTTACTAATTTTTATAATTTTTTATCGATTGGTTTTTGAGAAAAATGGTAAAGAATTTCGTTTTGGGGTTCTTAAGTTTTCAATTTAAATTACTATCAAAATTATTAACTTTAGAAGATAAATTTTATAAAATTTTGCTTCAAATATGCTCAAGATTATATATTAATTCTAATTATGTTTCAAAAGTACTCTATGCCATGAAAATTCAACCAAAATCTATAAATTAAAAAAGTCGGTACAGATATTTTCTAACTTTTTAATTTGTACACTTATTGAATTTTCTCTGCATAAAGCATTTTTAAAGCAAAATTAAGGTAATATTTATTTTTTTTAGTTGTATTTAGTAATATTATGCATTTATGATCAATTTATACCAAAATCAGATATCTGTACCCACTTTTTTTAATTTGTACTCCTTTTGAATTGAGCATTTTTGAAGCAAAATTCATTTAAAATGCAATAATTGGTAATTTTTTATTAATATTTATCTTTTTTAGATGTATTTAAGAATATTTGTATTTTTAATCAATTTATATCAAAATATATGATTTTTCAATGGATTACCTTGAACCCGTAGTATGGGCAATAAATAATAATGCCAAATAACGAGTAGGAAGAAAGGAGAAGAATTATTTTTTTTCGCCCATAATTTTTCATAAACATTTAATTTCTTTCATTAATTTTTTTTTTAAAATTGGAATATTATTCAAATTCCCTCCTTATATAATATTCTACAAAAAATTAATGCCGAGGTCTCCTTTTTTAAAGTGTGACTCTAAATTTTGTTACTGTGCGGGTTATATATTGCCCGCACAAAAATGTCCAATTTCTCCAATCATTCAAAGGATTTGTGAAATTTATTACAATATTCCACGCGATTTGGATAAACCATTTGCCCCTAATTACATATGTAAAACATGTTATAATTCTTTTAATTCATGGGTAAATGGAAAACGGTCATATTTGCCTTATTTGAAACTTGCGGCACGTAGCAAGAAATTATTCGTGGGATTGTTATTTTTGCTCGATTAGTACATTTGGGTTTAACAAAAAAAATAAGAAGAAAATTCGTGAGCCTGAAATTTCGTCGGTTGTTTATCCGGTAAAATATAATATGCATACAACAGTTCCTTTTTTTAATAGTTCTCAGCTGGAAAAATTACGTTGACAGGACAATGACAATATTGATCTTGAGTATCATCCCGAAGAGGATTCGCCATTTATGTCACAAGAGCAACTAAATGACATAACCAGAAATTTACAACTTTCTAAAAGAAAGTCCGATTTTTTAGCCTCAAGGCTTAATGATTTTAAAATTTAAAAAAATGGAGTTCGAACTTCATACCGATTCCGTGGACCATCGTTTAAAAATTTATTCTCTTACGAAATTTTTTTATACTATTCTAACAATCTAGGTCAACTTTTTTTACAACTTAATATTGAATTGGTGCCCGATGAATGGCGCTTGTTCATCGATCAAGCAAAAACAGCTTGAAAGCAGTTTTGCTTCATAACGGAAATTCTAAGCCATCAATTCCCATCTCCTATTCCAACCAGTTAAGTGAATCATATGAAAATATGAAATATTTATTGTCAAAAATAAATTATTCCATTTACCAATTTAAGATATGCTGCGATCTCAAAATGATCGCAATCCTGACGGGCCTTCAGTTAGGCTACACCAAGCATTCGTGTTTTCTTTGTCTCTGGAATTCCAGAGAAACTCTAAAACATTATACAATATCTGAATGGGAGGATCTTCCCAACGTTCTTGAAAAAAATCGCTTAAATATCACGCTTGTTTCTAAAAATAAGATTTTGTTGCTTCCGTTGCCCATAAAATTAGGACTAATAAAAATTTTATCAAAAAATTGTCCGAGGGCCCCACGATATACCTTAGAAGTTTTTTCTCCAAGCTTTCCCAAGCAAAAATAAAAGAGGGGATTTTAGTGGGCCCCCAAATAAGAAAACTCATGAAGGACAGTTTTTTTGAAGATGAATTGTTACTCATTGAATTAAAAGCATGGGAATCTTTTAAATGGATATGCAGATCGTTCCTTGGCAATCATAAATCAGCCGACTATCGTGAGAAAATTGATGACCTATTAACAAATTATAAGGAAATGGGATGCCGAATGTCCCTCAAAATCCATTTTCTTTATTCCCATAAAGATTTTTTTCCTGAAAACTTAGGTGCTGTGTCAGAAGAAATGGGGGAGCGGTTCCATCAACAGACAGAAAATCTCGAAAAGTTTTATCACGGCAAGAATCGTATAAATATGTTCGCGGACTACTGCTGAAGTATCTTTTTTGAAGATAAATCATCAACTTCATATTCGCGGAAATATATTTAGATTTAGCATTTAATGTTTTTAAATTCGATAAATTTTATGTTATTGTTTAATTTGTTTTAAATTCAATAAATTTATTGTATATTACAAGTTATATCCTATATAATAATGAAGGAGGGGTTGGGACAACGGACCGATAAAAGGTTATTAAAAGTAAAATATGAGATAGGTTAGCTTAGTATAATATATTTATTTAAATAGAGAAATATAACTATTTCATTTAAAATAAATTGTTTGGGAATCGTACCATGTACAGTGTAGCGAAGAGAACGAAAGCCACAATAAATAAATATATTAAATGTAAGCTATATTAAAAAAGATTTTATAAATGAAGGTAAATTTAAAAAATATAGGTTTTTTAAAAATTGAGTAAGGATTTTATAAAAAAAAATGTATAATAATAATAAGGAAGGTTTGCTGCAAAGATTAAGATATTTTTTTTAGTTGTAGGGATTATTAGAACCGAAGTTATAAACCTTCAAAATGTGCTAAAAATGACCTTTTTGGCCACTTTAACCTAAAATAAATAAAAAATCTGACGTGGTAGAAAAAAAAATTACAGCGGATTTAGAATATGCATAAAAAACTGTCTTTAACATGTTTATTTTATTTTCTCCCAAAAAATCAAGTCGAAATTTGTCACACAGTTTAATTAATCTATTTTCTTCAAAATAAGGTTTAAAAATAATAATTATAACAATTGTCATATTTCTATAATTCCTCTTTACTAATTTTTACCAATTTACTAAATTCTATAAAAAAAATTACAACTTAAGTACTTTCACTGTGATAATAATAAGAAATATTTTCGTGACAGCGGGGCTATTTTTGATATTTAAAATAAATATAAAGGTTTTTTTTCTGGGGAATTATTTTCCACTTTATATTTTTTTAAATCTAAAAAAAGGGAAATTTATTTACGGTAAATTATTTTCTGTGGTAATTTTTTTCCTGAGAATTATTTTCTAGAATATTATCTTCCAGGGGAATTTTTTCCCGGGAAATTATTTTCCGGTTACTGTAACATAGACTGAAATATAATTCAAAAAGGTATACTTTATATATATATATACTGAATTAATATAATATTAATGTATGCTTAAACCTTCGCAAAAATATTAAAATGCACCAAACAATTTTAAACCGAATCTGATCAGGCTTGGTTCACCACTTTTATATATAGGGTCATATAGTTTTCTTATAGTTTTAACATAATTTTCTGTAACGCAAATTTTCTAAAATTTATTTGCTAACCAAAAACGCCGATTTTTACTTTTAGCCACTGCAATATTAAACGCTTTATTAAGATAAAAGGAAATCCTCCCCCCTTCTCCCCCTCCAAGCCAAAAAATGCAGATGCCGGATATATTTTTCAAAAATATTGTTGTTTATATTAATTTATATTTGTTAATATTTATTCCTATCTCATTAAATATATATATAATTACATTTGTTTATCACATTCATCTACTAAGTTATTTATCAATTAATTTCAAATTTTCCTTGGCGTAATGTTTACCTATTATTTTCAAATTTCTAGAGGCGTAATATTTTCTATCATTTTTAAATTTATA